TAGCAAGAAAATAAAAGCCAACCCAGTACAAAGACTCATTTTGCCTTATACAAGAATGTTTGTTAGTGTCTTAGGATCAATTTATTTTATCCTTGGGCACATTTTTACAATTATTTCTGCTTTGTCCCACACTTCCCTATTTACTTGACATCTGTTCTATGTTTCTAACTAGTGCTGGCATGATGCGCAATGGAGTCTAATCCTGCGCTGCTCATTCGGGCAAGACACCCACTGATTTCACGAATGGGCTTCACGTTATCTCCAAAGTTGATGGAACTATTCTACTTCTGTCACTTGTAGTCACAGTAGCTGTTCAGTTGTGACTTCATTCCTAAATGCTTTGTTTTCAGTACCCATAATTAAGTTACATTAGCTGCAGATTCTAACCTGCTCCAGAACAGCTCCTGGCAGAGATGTCAACTTCCTTACATAAATCAAGCTCTTTGTTTCTCTGCAGAGTTTCAATCAAATGTTTGATAACTCGCTTTAAAAAATAGAATAGCCTAAAGCAATAATCCATGCCAAATATTTATAGTTTCTCTCCTCAAGAGGGCAATTTGAAAATCTTCCTCCACAGGACCCAGCTGTGGCATTTTAACCATGTCAGTACAGGTGGGATGTGTTGGCCAATAACCCCTTGTCCAAAGAACTTGCTCAGCACCTGCATTGCCTGGCTGGGTACCCAAATGTGGCATACATGGAGCCATGGAAGTTCAAAGCAGGTGTCTAATGGCTCTCAATGACATGCTAATGGATCTGCTGCGCTTTGCAATCCAAAGGACTGTCTATTAAAGCTTTAATAAAACCAGAAACTGGTCCCTTAATGAAATGCAAAGCTAGGTGGGACATAGGCAAGCTTCTTTGACATACAGAATGAGATCTTAAATTTAAAATTTTAAATATTTATTCTGTGAGGATTCTGAAGAAAGAACTCTAATTAAAGGAACGTACACTTTGAGCATTTCTATCTCATTTATTGAAACAGTAGAATTTCTGAGGATGTCTTTAGTACCCACCTGTGTTGTACTATTGTCTAGAGAAGTGTTAGGTATGCAATAATACCGTAGTAATACCAACTTTTCCTTAAGAAAACAGATTTAGTTATTTTATATAATTTTTTACAGTCTTGAACTTAGAAATGCCAGCTTCTTTTTCTTTTCCTTCCAGCTTGGAACTGAAATGAAAATTGCAATCACAATACACACCAATACTGTTGGTATAACCTTACAAGTAATTAAGCAGTTTAGAAGCTAATTAGTGTTTCAAGATTTCCATGTTTGCAAGAACTCAAGAGAATTCTAGAGAGGAAATGCTGGGGAAAAAAAAAAAAAAAGGCAAATTAAAATTCTATAACCAGAACTTTTCAACTTTGGGAACTTCTTTAAGGCTTGAGCACATGTTTCTCTAATGCTTTGTCTTCTTCCCATTGCCTGGACCTGTGCTTTTGGAGATCCTGGTGAAGTGTGGCAGGCTCCTGTACATGGAATAATGAAAAATATTGATTTGATTTGCTTACAATTTTCTCCTGGTAAGCTGAAGCAGATGGGACATTTATGACATTTATATGGAAGCTGTGTTTTTGAACAATTAATGAAATAAAAGGAGTAATAAATATGTAGTAAAGATGTTGCAAGGTATTTACAAGGTTTAAGTGAATGTTTTAAACTTTGTAAGTTTTGATCTTCATTACTTGAAAACAGGAAAAGCTTTGACACTTCCCAACATACCTTGAACACTGTCAAAGGCATCTTCCTCTTTTCACAGTGAAGGAGCTTAGAAAACACTGAATAAAAAGTATTTACCATGAAGAGCAAGTGGTAGCACATAAAAGTTGACTGTAAATGTCATTCAGGTGCCTGGAAAGCTGCACCTTTTGACACCATAGCCCCACACTTCCTTCGATTTAGCAAGATCAGGGTTAGCATCCCCTGACCCATCATGAGGGACTTCTGGTACTCTTGGTGCCACCAGCTTCATCCAGCTTTGTTGTCTAACAACTGTGGGATTTTGGGGGCCAAGAGGAAAGGACTGTCTTGTCAATGATTGTGGCTGTGGCAGAGCAGCACTGACTTAGGTCCCAGGTTTGCTCCCCGCACGTGGCAATTCTCTGGTTGTGACTGCTGGATTAAATGACACCACTGGGGCAGCAAAATGTCAGACCAGCAAACAGGTGCTGCTGGGTTGCCTTTTCTCAATCTGATTTGACAGCAATTTATTCTGTGCCCTTACTTAAGCCACCTAACAGTACTGATTTAACTCTTGACCAATAAATGAGGAAACTGATTTCCCATTTCCCAGAATTATTTGGGTAATTAATTGTAAAACTACTTTATAAGTTCTTGGCCATTCCTCTCATTAAAGTTCATTCCTCCCAGAGACTGGAAGTACCAAGATTCTAGTGTACTGGGGCAATTAGCCCAACATCATAAGTAAATATTTTGTGACTATCCCTAACATCCAGTTCAGAGGCCTGGACCTGCATCCTCCAGTCCCTGGATCTGAAGAAGGTGACCATAATTCTTCTCCCGCCCTTTCTTTTGCACATCCATGCAGAGGAGTCAGGACTCTGGCTTCTGGGATCCATTTCCCTTCCCTACATGCTTTTTTTTGGGAATTTGTATGGAGTTGCTGTGCTCTCAGATATCACCGAAGTCTTAGGTTTATTGACAAATAAACCTTTCTACAGATGGGAAAAGATATTTGGCAAGTTAATCCTGCTAATGTGTGGATCCATCTGAGATGATCCAGACCCTTGGGATCCAGTGCTCTGCTATGTCTTACACAGTGACCTTTAAGAGAGATGTCCAAAAAATATTTTTACTTCACCAGTAGCTACTGAAATTTCAAATGCTTTCAGCACCTCTTGTAACAAAAGACAAAGTGGTGGATAAGGAGACTTTCCTGCGTTCCTGTTTAATAAACTAAGGCGAGTCGTGTACTTCTGCACCAGTTATTCAGCACAGTTTAATCATTTGCATGTATGCTGAATAAAATGGTAGCAAAGAAAGGTCAGGATTTCTCTATTGCTTATTAGGCTATTTGGTTTTTCCCATTGCTCTAAAATCAGTGTGCAAAAGGTTGGAAAATGGCAAAGTGCCTCCTTTCCCCTTTAAGAGGTGATCTTTGTGTTGAGAAACATTCCCTAAACCACTTCCACCATCAGCAGGGGGTTGCCAGGAAGGCAGTTGATAGCAGCTGTAACTGCTGATTAAAAAACTGATGCTCAGCTTTGCGTATCAAAGATATCAAACTTTCCATCTTCTGAGCTTTAAAACCCTCTTGTTGTGCAAGGGGCTGCACACTGTGCACCCACATGAGCATTGGCCAGCACCCATTGTACCTGAGCTCCTGCACCCCAGCCCATGAAGGCTTGAGTAACAGAGCCTCAAAGCAGTTTTGATGACACCTAATAAGAAGTAGGAAAGTGTTTTATAGTTGAAGAATATTTGTGGAATGGAAAAGAAAAAAAAGTTATTTTTAACCCAGCCTATTCTAGTCCTCCATATCATTGAAGTGTTGTGGGAAATAAGTGAGAGAGCAAATACACAAGTGAGCCTGACCACAGCCAATCTGAGAGCAATCTGACATACCTGCAAAGTGGTTTGTGCAGTATGGGCATAAATCAAGGTAAGTGGAAGCCCGGATGGCTTGCTTTTAGGAAAACAAGTAGCACAACTGGATCTAGGCACCTAGGTATTATTATGGAGTAAAGAAAAGCATTTTTATTACTTTCTTAGCACAAAGGATGGAGTGGCTTTCTCATTTGAATCTCCAGGGGAAAAAAGTAAATAAACCTCTTTTTCTCCTTTCCCCACATTTCACTTCAAAAGTGTCTTAGAGGCTGCTGGGACTGCACTCAAAATGAATGCATCTGTGACTACCTGTATTTCTCAGAAATTCAAATTTCTTCCAAAGCTCAAGATACACTTGTGAGAGAAAAGTGGCTGCCCAACAGCTCTTCAGATCTTCCATGGACAGGCTGCTGCCAGTGCGGGAAGTTTGATGTTAATCAAACTGATTTGGAGTCGCTCCCACCATGTGACTTTGTGGGGACCTGGCCAGGGAGGCCAGTGTGGGGCAGGGTGCTGGGAAGGGCTAGACTGGCTTCCTGGCAAGGGGTACTGGGATGTGGAATGGTGACTTCCCTCCCAAGTCCCAAGAGCAGACAAAATCCAGTCTTCAGTGTCTATGTGAAACTGAGATTCAGTTTCCACCGGTTCCTCCAGCAAATCCTGCAAGGTAAGAACCACTTTTATTTATTGCTCCCAGCTGCGGCTTATGCAGGGATGAGCCCTCCACAGGGACAGAGCTGGCACACCAAAGTACTACCACTGGCTTTGTCCATAGAAAGGGTTACATTTTCAGGTTTTTCCTCAGTCTTCCATCTCCCAGTGGCTAAATCTGTTCTGTGTGATACTTATGCCAGCTCTGCATCTCCCTGGCTGTCAGCTTCCCAGACCTTCCCAAGGGAGAGAGCTGCCTAAAGAGGCTTTGGTGCCCTGGGATATGGGCAGCTGGAGGTCTCACTTCTGAGAGACACAGGCATTTCTGTAAGCTGATGGAAATAGTTTAAAAAGGACACATGTAGTAGCAATTGATTTTGCTGTGAGCTAGCAACCTGTGAAAAGCAGAGCAAACGGGTGGGCTGCTGGGGAGGAGGAATCTGCTTGGGAGACACGGCCTGAAGACAGACTATCATGCAGTGGCCCGCAGCAGATATTCACTATCTCAATTTAAGTTTCTTTCTTTTCCTTAGAGCTTTTTTCCCCTTAAGAAAATTCATACTATGTTATCCCAGCAGCTTTGCTTTTCCCATTCCTCCCAATCACACATGTTAAGGCTTAAGTATGGTCATTTTTCTTTTGGTCAAGGCAACCATTTAATTTCTTTTTCTCTCCTTACCTCCAGCTTACACTGACAAATCTTTTCTGGTGATGAAAGCATGACAGTAGCTGCTAGAATGAAACCTGACTCTTCTAAGGAGCAACAGAAACTCCTTCCACAGTTAATAAACAAATTTTATTAAATAACTTAATAGTTACCAAGCTCAATAAAGTAATAGCTTTCTTAACAAGCAAAACAGGAGTTGCAATGATACTTTTATGTAATTTATAATGTTCTGTTTTGAACAAGCAAATATAATTTACATGAGTGAAAGCTGCCTGCAAAGCTCAGTGTTCACAACATGATGTGAAGTATAGTGGGGTGCAGGGGAAAGTAGAGATTAAGAGGGAGATGTGCCTCTGGGAAGTTTTGATCTGGGTTTTTGTAGCATAGACTTTGTAGATCCAGATGGAGTTAAAATAAAAAATCAAGGGCAAGTGCACATACACAGAGCTCCAGCAGAAGAAAGTGGCTGGTTCTAGTTATGTATTAGTAACTGTGAAGTAGAAAGGCTATCATTAAGAAGTTAATAAAAGTATTCCATCAAATGGTTTAGAGATAAGATTCAAATCGCATAAAGAGCACACAGGTCTTTTTTCCCATGAGTATTGCATTGGAAGAGTGACCATGTTTATGTATTGTAGGATTAAGCATTGCAACCTTGGGAAACAATGAGGTTTGGTTTTGCTCTTTTAAGTTCTTGACATTCCAGTTAAACTTCTTCGATGCTATTTTGTTTTCACAGAAGGTGAAGTCAAAGGCATAGATCAAGCATAGAACTTGTCATCTCCAGTAGAAGTTTAGGAATTTATGAGCAAAAGAATTCCAATATAAACTTGCCTGCAGCCTTTATGATACCAGTTAGAGTGTATCTGGTGTAAGTAGTAATCAGTCTGAGTTGTTGTGGTCAGTGTTTTTTTCCAGTTATTTCTGTTGGTGCTTAGAAAAGGGAGAAGACAAGGAGAGCAATCACAGGGAATCTGTCTGTTGCAAAATCTCATTATCTTCTTGCATGAAACAAATTCTTAAATCTCAACTTTAGAGTTTTCTTTTGCAATAAATTAGAATATATGTCATTGAAATAAGTGGGAAAATTACATCACCATATATTTCTTCATAATTTCATAACACAGAGCAAAATACAGGTGTTTTGCCATTACTGCGTCAATATTACAAAAGTCTCTAAGCAATAATTGTTGGTTATCTTCTCTTTTTGAGACATAACTCTCTGTACTACCAGCCCCAAAGATAGCTTGAAAATGCTATTTAAATTAAGATCATATTTATCAGAGGCAAAGGTAGTTCAGCTGATGGCACCTGTGTCTTAGGAAAAGACCCTGAGCTCTAATATCAGTGGATAGAGAGACCTGTGGAGAAAATAAAAAGGAAAAAGTCTACTTCTGTGTTCTGAATTGTACCTAAAGAGAACAACAAGTCATGACTCCTGCCCTTCACCCTGGGACCGTGTCTTCCTGGCGTGGGTGGCACGAGACACCTGACACACTCAGCTGAAATAGGAGGGCTGGTGTCTAGGATCAGTCCCTTTTTTGCATTTAGACAATGCTGTGCCAGCCAGACTGAGACATTATGACTCAGTAATTTGCTACTTGTGCAAAAGCTAAACTGAGCAGAGCTACTCTGTGTGATGCAAATAGCAGTGAGTTGGTTTGCCTGTATCAGGAACAGGAGGCTTCATATGCTGTTTAGCACAGACAGTAGGTAGCAGGATTAAAGGTGCTGAGATTCTTGAAGAAAGACCAAGAAGTACCCAGAACAATGACCCACGTTTTGGGTTTTTTCTTTCTTTACTATTCCACACCTAAGCCACTGACATGAATTTTGGAGTTAGTTTATTTTTAAGGCCATGCTGTTATTCCTGATAGACTCAGTAGCGGGGAATGAGTCATTCCCACAGTTCTGGATACGATGTGCACCTACGCTGGGTCCAGCTCTACAGCAAATCTGGAGCCCAGAAAAGGAGGAGCAGAGAAGAAAACATTCACTTAGGTCAGGGTCTTTGCTAGAGATGATCTTGAATGAGGAACAGGAGCAGGGCAGGCAACCCAAGGAGTCAATGTCCACAGCCCAAACCTCTGTACTGCATATTGTGGGAACACAGTGATAGGGTCTTCATGCTAGTCCTGGTGTGTAGAGAGTGGAATGTGCCTGAGCAGGCATGTGGGCAGAGTAAATCCTTGTTTCAAATCAACCTGAATCACTACAGTCTGAGGACAGGAAAGATAAATGGATTGCTGCAGATTTAACACTGGTGGTGTTTATTATCACGTTAGTATCTCAGTGATTTTACAGCGAGACCTTTAGTAAAGAATAGTAAAGATTTTTAGTAAAACTTTCTGTGGATATATTTGCTCTAGGAAAGTACGGTAAGCACCAAGGCTGCAAGCCTATGTAGAGCTCTCTGACCAGCCAATACGGTATCTGACCTGGGATAAGCATCCATGGGATGTGTAAATGTGTAAAATGTACCTCTCCAAAATTAAGATCATTAAGTCATTTGTGCTAGAGCTTTTTAAGAATAAAGTGTAATATTGAATCTCATTCTGCATTTCCTGAGTAATTTTTCTGCATTGTAAAATTGGAAAGAATTACTCCTCTTGAGTATTTTTAGGTCAGTTAAGGACATTTAAAAAAAACTCTCTTTTGGCTCTACTGAAGTGAATTGTTCACACTCACTGACTGGGAGATTCAGTTTTAAATCATGCTCTTCATTCATTCCTGTTTTAAATGAATATGCAGAAGCTTAAGATTTTTTCCAATGAAAGTTTAACATTTCAGGATATACCCTATGGAATTTGTATCTCCCACAATGTATTGAAATTGTATTGCAATACTGCTCTCTGTTTTAAGCTCTCTTCTAATGAAAGTACAGGTAAGTATCTCATGAAATCTGGATTTTAAAAATATAAATTTTCTCTACTGTCATAAATCTGGTACTTCACATTTGAAAATGAAATGCTTGCAGTTCATAATGTTAAGGATTGTAACCAGGGTTGAATTTATGAACAGTCTCATTTGTGTCTTATAACTCCATGTAAATCTATGTGCATATCTTAATTGAAGGCGCATTTGGAGGATTATTTGCATGAAAACTGCTGATGAAGACATGTGGAAATAGGAAAGTTATTTTAAGACAGCTATAGTAGGGTATTTTCCTATCCAGGATGTTTGTTAGCTCTGACAAATCTTTGTTAATTTTGTCTGGCTGTTTTCATGAATCTTTGGATTCCAACAAAAGCTAATAAATCCAGCTATGAATGCTTTAAATACAACTACATTTCAGAGAATATGAATCAGAGAAGGAATACATATATAGTGTTGATACAGAAGAATACACATTTGTTGCTTTGTGCTGTGCAGTAGCATTCAGAGGAAGACTTGTTCCCTCATCAGATTTCCATACATTTGAACTGCTCTTGCCCAGAGTTAGGGCAAATTGCATGACAAATGTTAAAATCATTAACACCCATCCCAGGCAATCAAAGTAGCTGCTGACCTTTAAATGTGAACACATTCACATACCAGTCTACCAACCATCTGGTGTGACCTGACATTTCCATTACAGGCACTCCTGTCTCACAGCCCCCCTGCAAAACACCACAAATGTGATGATTTGTGCCCATGGTGGCTGCCATCTCCCTCTGCTAAGTGTCCTTAGGGAGGGACATCTTGCTTCCTCTGGCCCTTTCATTTCCATGCTTTCTTATTTCTCTAAATCCTACTGAATCATAGCTCTATTTGTCAGGGCTTCAAGGAAGCCACTGAATCTCCCAGACCCAGGATCCAGCTCCCCAGCCAACATGTCCAGCCAGGAATGGTCCCAGGTGATCTCTGCATCCCAGTCCTAAGGATTTGGCTGCTGCTCCCAGGGTCTGGCTGGCAACAAGGCTGTGCCCAAGACACACTGACACACACACACAGGGGTCTCTGAAGTGGCTGGTGGTTCAGGCTGCTGCACACACACACAGAGCAGCACGGGCTGCACAACCCCTCTCTAATGCTACCCAAACTCAGAGAAGGGCACAAAGCCCTGTTCTCTTCCTCTCCTCCAGAAAATCAGAATGCTGGTTCTCTGGTTAAAAAAATGTGTGCCCTCATTCTCCACATCCAGAAACACACTCAAACATGCACAGTCCCCTTAAATGTTAGCATGACCTCTAAACCTGTTAAATATCCATGCTTGGAAGTTCTGGCAGTACAACTGGTACACGACTCACTTTCTTCTTGCCAGAAAGGGCAGTGTGATGTTTGAGTCCTCCAGATGTGGAAATGTTTCTTCCAACTCACTAGCTAGTCCAGCTTGAAGTTTGCTAGTGAATTATGCACACACACATACAAAGAGGATTAAATTCACTGAAGAATATTAACCAGATTTCTCCACTTAGACCTCTTACACACCAACACGCAACCTGATCCCTCCAGCTGCTGCTGGCACCTGGACCTTTCAAGACACATGCAAAAGACACATACCAGTCCCTTCAGTTGCTCGTCTTTAGATCTACAAGCCCTGTGGCCCACAGTCCCTCCAGTTCCTGGCACAAAGACCCTTCCATGCAAGTCCCTCCATGTGCTAGTATCTAGACCCGTGCACCCTAAGACCTGTGGTCTCCTCTGGCCATTGGCATCTGGCTCTCTTTTGCAGGTGGATCTCTCCAGTTTCTGGCCTCATTTTCCCCCACTTTTCTTTGGATCTTTTGATTCTTCCTCTAAACACCCCATTTTACATAAATCTACAAGCCTTTTCTGATAGCCTATATCTCAAGCAGCCTCAACTTTTCCCCAACACTAATGTTAATCATATTTTCCCCTTCCTATTAGTTAATAATTGTTCAGGTTGACATTCTTGAGAGTTCTGCCTGAGTAGTTCCTCTAATGGACCATCAATCAGTGGCTGAAGCATTCTGGATCCTCATTATTATCTCTACTGTGACTTCCTCATTAATGTGTGTCTGTGAGATTCATTTATTACTTTCCTCATTACTTGTTATTTCTTTTATGGTGAGTAGATCACAACCAAATAACATAATGAACCAGATGCTCCCACACTTCACAAACTCTCACACTACTGACTGACAGCTGCAGCAGGACTGAGAACTGCTGGGTCCAGCTCCCCTTTATTATAGATAACTATGCAATGATAATGTAGCAAACTTGGACTTTCCTGTGTTGACTGAAATCCAGGATGCCATTTTCATGTTTTCTTCATGTTTAGGTAGACTTGAAGGACAAGGCAGCCATGTTGCACAATGTATTTCCATTTTTCTCCATTGAATGACGATACACAGCACTGACAGACACTCCACTGACTTTAGCACAGTGTTTTATCCAGATGATGAATTATTTTCCTGACTTTACAAACTTTTATCATGATGCTTGAGATAAAAGGAACAGAAAGAATGATGACGTAGTTGTGGTTTTGCAGTGATGTTCATCTTGTGTCGTTGATGCTTGTTTGCATTATCTTCAGAAAGATGTTTTAGTCTAAGTGAGGGAAAAAACCAAACACATCTTAAAAGTGTATAGGGAAGGGAAATATGTGCATAATGTAAGAGCATTACTTGCAAAGAAACCAAAACTCTTTATTGGACAGTCATAAAGTAGCAGTGTCAAGTATCTGACACTGTACAGAAGTACTGCAACTCAGTGGGGTATCACACAAAGAGTATTAGTACAAAATTAAAAATGGAACTCTGCTTTCTGGAAGGATATTCCTCTTCAGTTTGTTTACAAAATTTCTCCTGTGCCCTGTGAGTCCCTCTAAACTATGTCACGCTTGCGACAAGCTTCTTAAGTAAGCCTTTTAAGTAGACAAGCCTCTACTTAAAGTAGGAGTCCATGTGTCTCAGACTGCATGAAATTTCCTGTGAAAACATGCCCAAATGCTGCTTCTATCCAGTAATGGAATTTATGATCTTGTCATCTAGACAGTTTTAACCTGATGTCTTCTCAACCTTTCCTTAAGTTAATATTTCCACGGCTACTTCATGCCTTGCATAAAAAATGGCCTTTGAAAGTGGAAAATTATTTTTTAGATTCACTTTTTGTTTTGACATCCTGGGATGCATTTTTTAGCACCATATCCAGGGGGGGATCTTTATTAGAATAGGCATTAATAGATGAAATACAAATTTACTGAGCAGAAAATATGGTTTAATTACAAATTGAAAATTAGCCCCTTTGCTCACACTATCCCACTCAATGTAGGCTGTCATTGGTACACAGTGGAGGGGGGTGGAAGAGGAGAACAGGTTTTTAATTAAGTGGGTTTGTAATGTTTGATAAATCAGTGTCACTTAAAGGAGCTCTTTAATTCTTAACCTGTAGCCTTTAGGCTTCAAAAATGTGACATCTTCCCATTTACTTCTTAGTTAACTTGATTGTTTGCTTCTTAGTGAATATAGATATGTGTGTATCTGTATATTTGTTGAAAGAGGCAAGATACTTACTTCTTCTAGAGTCACACTCTCCTTATTCTCCTTTCTTTGTTTGTATTTCTTTTTAAGGCACACTGCAGTTGTGATGGTGACAATTAGCATTACAACAAACACAGTTATGGTTGAAGAAACAGCTATTACAGTATTTTCTTGAGTTGAGCCTTTTCTTTCACACTTTTCTCCCATGTACCACCAGTTGTCACCTGCTGGACATCTAGAAAGCAAAAGAACAAACATGTACTATCACTTAAAGATTAAAAGTGTGAAAAGGTCTACTTCAGAAAAATGACATCTGTGGTGCAATTTCTATATTTGAAAGCATAATGAAGTTATCTTAAAATGGACTTCTATTTTAAAGTTATCTTGAGTGGCCTGAGTGGCCCACTGTCCTTACACACCTAAATGTGTTTCTTTCAGCTTCCTGATGTTTCAGAGGTTGTGCCTTCACATAGAGCCTTTGCCAGAAATCCTAAAAGCCTTCTTGATCTTCTTGACCCCTTAATGCTTGGTTGCAGCTGATCTATGGAGCTTCTCTTTTTTTTTTTTTAATTTTCAAATTTAAAGAACTTGTAAGAGCTGCCTTTGCCCTCACCCAACACACAGATAATAAAAGAAATTCACAGCCCAGCAGCCATCCAGTTTTAGGACTGAAAACAACCTCCAGGGTTTGATTCCATCACCTGACCAGCACCACAGTCAGCACACTCACCTCCATCTTTCTGACCTTCGTTACTCCTTATGTATTGATTTTCTAGCTCCTGTCTAAGCCATTTATTCAGGACTAGCACAGCCCTGAAAACAAGTTTGCAGTGCATTGTAAAGATATTGCCTGCTGGGGAGATTCCAGGTAATTCAGCTTAAACAGAGATATCACATTCCCGCCCATTTCCCAGCAGAAAATTGGGGCGGAAACTGACTGCTGGTCACACATTTCTATAGGACAGAAAGTAGGTCGCAAAGGCACTAAAGCTTCAAAGAGTCCAGATATGTCAGAAAATAAATGTTCTCTTCCCATAATGTTGAAATGAGGCATAAGATTGAGCATATTTTTTATTTTTATCTTCTTGGAACTACTTCTTGACATTTACTCATATTTGTGACCTGCTTCTGATGAGTTGCACAAGAATTATTTTTTAAAAGGTTCCTAAATGGGGACATATAACACTTAATGAGTCATCCTGACTCCTGTGGCTCTTGGCCTTTATGTTTTCCTCACAGCACTCCCCCAGTCTACCTGCCCTGGAACAGTATCTAAGGTTACTGTCTTCAGCCTCAGAGCTTATTTGAGAGCTGGAACAATGCTAATCAGACAGGTAGGGTACATAAATGCAATCCAGAGAGAATTAAATAAAAGTTGATATTAATCTTCTTGCAGGGCAAACAATCTTTTATTCCTCAGCTTTCTCTGCTGGTTTCAAAGGCAAGCGACTACACTTTGGTAACTCATGGTCATAATTTGCACTGTATTATATTTCTGAATCAAATTTTAAAATAATGTCTACACTGCTTCCTACATGATAAGTATTGAAAATCTACTCTAATTATATAAATGCTCTTTTCTTTCAATTACATTTATTTAACTCTTCTACATTTTGCTATAGGGAATTATAAAACTTGGAGTAATACATTACTTAAAATAATAAACACATTTAAAATATAATTTACAGGAAAGTCAAGCAGAGGACTTCAAAATGATCAAATGCTGAGGTTAGGAGCTTTGTTGCCCAAGTTGGCCATAAGTTCAGTCTCACAGGGGCAGTTGCAAATACTTACCTTAATCAGCTAGTCTGTCTTTCGTTGGGAGAAAAGATTTATTTCATTAGAAACTTTCATTACTCATCCTAAAACTGCATTTGAGAGTGAACAAAGGCAGTTACCTGCACGTAGGTGCTCTGTTCACCATGACACAGACACCGTCGTTTTCACAGGGGTTGTCTGAGCAGAAGGCTGGAACCTCTGGCTCTCCAGGCTGGGTGGTGCTGCCCGTGGTGCTGGTGGTGGATGCAGTGGTGGTGGTCTTAGTGCCACTGGGGGGCTTGGTGGTGGCAGTGGGGCGAGGGCCAGGTTTGGTGGTGCTGGCACTTGTAGTCGTAACAAGAGGGGGTAGAATGCTCGGCTGAGTTGACAGGAGATGCGATATATCTGCATGGTGAACCCACAGACAATAATGGTTTTTTTCTTCCTATTCTAATGATAATTTCTAATAACAAAGAGCAGTAATCCTCTCCAGAGGTATAATGGATAAACAGGTTTTTTTGCCTTTCAGGAGCAAGATGTATTTTCGAAATGTCCTCTAGAATTTTTTCAGAAACAGATAGCTTTATTCAAATTAATATATTCAAAATAATTTGCACAGGATTAGCATTGTTTTACACACCTTCACATGAGATAAAGGAATTACATTGTGTATGTACCTGTTCACAAATTTATTCAAACATACAATTTGAATTTAGACACAGGCATAATTCAAATACTGCTCAAGTGCAAATTACATCCTGTATAACTACAGCACTAGTGACTTGGTATCTGACACTGTTTGTTGCATTGTGAAGCGTATCAGCTGTGTTCACATACCTTCCATTGTTAAAAGAATATAAACACCATCTTCTTTGATAAAGTTGCGGCTTCTAAGTCTCTCATGAGTTAAAAATGCGCTTGTTCCAACTCCTGGACCTCTCATGTATTTAGTTCCATTGGGAAAAGTTGCTTCGGATCCTACTTTATCTGGCCTATCCCAAATATAGTTTGATGAGGATCCTAGGGGGAAAAAAGGAAAAAAAGAATGTGAATGTGAGACTGCTCTGGATTTGTGTCTCAGCAGAAATCTCAATTTCCTGAGATTCCCCACTGATGAGAGGCACAAAGCAATGGAGATCTTCAATGATTTGGTTTAGCCTGAGGTCCTGAGAAAAGAACCTGCTGGAGGTGAGGTTGTTTGAGACCTAGTTGAAAACCTGTTGTATTTTCTTTTTAGTTCGTTAAAGTGAGGTGGTCAAGAAGATAAGTAACACATCTATAACATGAGTTAATGCAGTACTTCTCAAAAGAGAGTATTTCCTGCAGTAGATGTGGGGCACAAGATATTTGAGCAACCTAAATGACCACAGATCACTGATGCCTGGTCCACCAAACCCTGTTCTAAAGCTCAAAGCTGAGCCTGATTGTCCATGAAAGAATCTGACAGAGGGAGAAAGATCTCCCTGCTCCAACACCTCTCTGGTTAGATAAAAAGTGTGTATTACAAGGCTTCCCTTGGGAATCGTGGACTATTTGCAATATAAGAATAAACAAGGGCAGAGAGCAAACAGACACAGGGTCAGAGAAAGAAAAGGGCATTGTGGCTGTAACAGCAGAAAGCACAAGGAAAATGTGCTTTTACAAATATCTATAGAGGGCATGTGCGGCGTGTCTTTCATTTACAAAGAGGACATTAATTCTTTCTAGATTAACCACTTTGTTTTCATATAGAGGCAGTGTCACAGAAAATGCAAAGTAAAACATACTGGTTTTAAAATAATAATATGAATTGGATGGTTTTGTGCCTTCCTTCCTTTTTAGTCTGAAAGTCCAGAAAACTAATTCAGTGGCAGAGATGATTTCTTTTGGCAAAAAGAAGGAAGTAATTATGGCTTAAATCCAAACTTTATCCAATGCTGAATGTGGGTGTTTTCTTTTATATCTCTCTCTGTATAGATTCCTATCATTTCTTAGAGTTACTTTTTACCTCAACTGTCACACTTCCAAGTTATTGTGGGCAATAGCCCTTATCTTCTCACATCTTGAACAAGTACAGATTACATAATATGAATCAGTACTTTGTCCATCTCTTGTGCTGACATCACTGTACCTTTGACAAGGAGGGTTGGGATTTGTTTGATAGTTGCTTCAGTTTTATTTGGTGTAAACCACCTGTATTTTTAATTCAGTGTTTTTCTTTCCATGACTTCTGGAAAACTTCCATTCTCGTTAAAACAGAAATATATGTTTCCTCACAGAGCACATGAAAGAAACTTTAGGAATAGATCATCCACCTGTTTCTTATGCTAATGCAGCTTTGAAATCCAGAGTCCTAGCTTAACTTGCTTGTAGGTTTAATTTTTTTCTTGTCCATGGATCAATATTATTTTTGCTGCAAACATATGAAACATTCCAGAAGCTAAAAAATATGCATTAATTTATACAAAGAGGAGATATGACCCCTTGTCTTTTGATTGTGTTTTACATGTTTGATTTTAACTAACCTGATAACTTCAGAGGGTCTGTTGTTATACTTCTTTGGTTTGACATCTGTTGACGAATATCAGGATGCTGGTCAAGCAGGATCATGGTACCTTGTTGCCATGGACAGGGCCATTTCAACTGATCATCGTTTGCTCCAGAAATCAAGGACAAGTATATTCCTAAATTAAATGGGCTATCAATGGTACCATTTACATACAAGCTGACCTGGAAAGCATATCCTTCACTAGAGTAAAAAGGTGGGCTGTATACTGCCCCACCTTTCCCTGCTGGACTTGTGTTGAGGAGCTGTGTGAAATTTCTGATATGCCAGACATGGTGGGGACACTGAGTTTCTGACAAGTTGATGTCATCAATAGAGAGGCCTCCATTTGACAAGCCACTTCCTTTCACGCCTTGAAACACAACCCGGAATTTACTCGTGACATTCAAAGAAACATGATGGAGCTGCCAATAAGTCTCAGGTGAACCTGAAATACAAGGGTAGAGATTTCTAAGTCAGTAGCGCAATCAAACACTGCACAGGTCTGTGGACCCCATACCAACACTGTGTAAGAATTTTTCAATTCCACTGACACTGGTGTGATGGAATATTTCTCCTGTAGAAATTACTTTTTCAGTTCAAGATCATATTTGCTCAATACAGTATTTTAACAGAATTAATATGCGTAATAGCACTTGTTGATGGGTTTTCAAACTGATTTTTCTTTTACATTTTTAAATAAAATTTCATTAAATTAGTCCAGGAGTTGTGATTATTAAATCCACAAAAAGAGTTTCACCTGCATTGTTAAAAAGAAAAAATTCAGAACAAGTTATATTCAAATAACTGAACAACAACATGCCTCAACAAAAAATGCTCCAGAGGATTCTGGGAACCTAGAACTACAAGACTAATTCATTCATTTGTTTTTGTATCTTTAAATGGTTTGCTGGAAGCTTGCCTATGCAGAAGCACTATTCACCCATCACATGATTAATGGTACTAAGGTCAAATTAAAGCCAGTCATTTGCAAAACCTGCTTCGTGCAATAGAACTTTACTGCAAGTTTGATGCCGCATCCAAAAGTGCCTGTACTAGCAAATTCCACTTGACTCCAAGAGCAGTGTACACAAAAGCAAAGACCTCTGCAAAGGGGCCTTGTGAGGTCAATGAAAGTAGAAGATCCTTTTTTAAATTATGTGCACCAAAACAGTTTCTTTTGTGGCTTGGTTTTAGTTCATCTGTACAGAAGACCAGCTGCATTTATTGAACAGCAGATAACAGACTCATGCATCACTCTCCTAACAATCCAAAGCACAACACAATGGATCTCAAATATGTCTTAATTTCTTGACATTTTTCATTACTCTTATAATTAGGAGGGAAAAAATTAACCAAGAAACAAGAAGAAAACTTTTTTCCATGAAATTGCCTTCTGCATAAGCTAAAGGATTTTTACATGTAATATGTGCAGTTCAAAAATCCCCAGCTGCCACAAACCAGTGGGAAGTGTTCAGGGATTGTCCCTAAGCCTCTCGAACAGTAGTTCAGTGCAAACCCATGAACAGCTCATCGAGGATGTCAGACCATGGATGGAAGGGGCTGTAGTGTCACTGTTATTCTAGGTTATTGAGTGCATTGGTGAGGGTAACTTCTCACTTGAGAGAAGTGAAACAGCTTGGGGGAAAAGTGGTCTTGAACCATCCCTAAAAGTTTTGCCACAGATTGTCAAAATAGGGTTCTTCTTTGGACACGCTTATGAGATCAGAGACTTCAAAGGAAATTACAGACTTGAGAAAGCAGGAATGGGAGATGGGGCCTAATAGACACAAAAGTGTTTGTGAGGAAGGCTGAAGTCTGGAGAAATTAATCTTGGCATCAAGGTAGGGTTTGAAAGAGTTTGGAGGGCTAAGACTGATGTGAAGTCTACATCTGCCTTAGCAACTCTTACGTTAAGGATGCCTGTTAGCTCAGAGGGCACAGACAGTGAAGCCATAGAAATGAAGAAAAGAAAAAAAAACAGGCACTGTCAGTAGCTGAGCCTAAAGGGGCAAAAAGAGACAGAAATGATACCTATTTAGTAAAATAACTTGATCATATCCTTCTGAACTTGGTGTAGGTGAAATGGAGACCATCTAATAGTTAAATATTTGAGAAAGCAATTTAATCCCAAGGTGACTTTGGCAATTCTAGCTTAAAGAGCTCTTGTCCATTAGCTGACCTCAACTGATCATTCTGTAGGCCACAGGCTCCTAAAACCACAAGAATTTAATCTTCTTCAAACTACAACTCAAATCATGATCTGTTGCTCATATATTTCAGTTAAGTAATTTAAATTTTATTTATTTTTTTTAACTTAGATATTCCAGGGTACTTATGCTTTCCATTTCTTTATTATACTTTCTTATTAATTGTAATTTACTCTAATATTCCGACTTCATCAGCTGCTATTGATACCAGCAATTTTAGAACAGTTAAAATGATTGCTTATGGAATTTGAGCTAGTTTGGCGAGAAAACTATCTTGATAATACAAGAGTCTGAAATTTGTGGTAATTTATTATATTATAGGAAAGCAGCTGACTGAGGATCTGTCAGGTATAATTTCAGCAGCAACGAATCAATTACATAGATAGAGAAGAAGCCAAAGAACAGCACTACGAAATGAGTGACTTTGCCACAATAATTTTCCTCAGTACTTTGAAAAATACTGAGGATAGATTAAAACAAAACACAATTTTATTCCATACCTTTTATCTCCTTGATGAATCTCAGAGTGCCATTTGGATTGGCAGACGTGTACTCCCTGACCCAGACATTCAGCTGGTCACTCTCATTACCACTGTTATATAAATAGAATTGTAAGCACTGAAAACCTCTTTTGGGATACAGAATTCGGCTCTCCAGGACAGCTGTGCTACCTTCTCCTCCAGCACTGGTGTCAAAATGCATGAAGTAGCCAGAATCTGCCAAAAGTCAACGAGAAATTAGCGGTAGAGGGGAGAGAAAACAGAATTTTCCTGGTGTATTGGGTTTCTTAATGCTGTATTGTAACAACTCTAGAAGATACAGTCAGGAACAAATCTCTGACTGAGGACTCTTAATTGTTCACCTTTTCCAGAGCTACAACTATTATCTTTGCAGCTTTTCTTCTAATTTCATTTTCTCTAGCAAATTGTACCCAAACCATGGGTTTTTACTTTTTACCCAGTGCCAGTAACTCACAGATGACACTCTGGAGGGCTGATTTAAATTCCTGAACTCTTGGACCATTCTGACAGGTCGAGATACATCTAGCTAGATTGTCAATTAATTTTTCACCTCAGCCCTGATAATACACATTTCAAAATCCTATTCCTGTCCAAGGACTTACTGAGCAATTATTCAGAAAAGCAGCAATCTATTTGGTGTGCCTGTATCACAGGTTCAATACTTTATATAACTCTCATGACAGCATGTGGCACTAAGACAAAAAAAAAAAAACTTATCAAAAGAGATAAGGACATTCGATCCTCTGAAATAAGCAGAAAATCAACATATCACATGATGTCCCTAGGTATGTAGATCTATGCTGCTTAGTTAAAAAACAAACTGTAGTTTGTAAAAAAATAAGCAGATAAGGCCAAGCTTGAAGGAGCCCTGCATAAAACACTGCCTCTGCAGAAAACACTTCCCAGAAAGATAAGAGGTTTTTTCTCATACCTTTGCATTCTCCCATATTAGTGTGATCGGTATTTGGCCCAGCTGGAACCTGAGACAAACGCTGCCAGTCACTGTTATCATCTGAACTTTGAATCATGCCACATACATTTTCAAGTTCAAAACTGCATGTGTCCATGAAGCTTAGGGAAGAGGCTGACATTAAAAAAAAAAAAAAAATTGTGAATCTCTATTACACAACTCATTTTAATTCTGAAGGTCCAAAGCTGTGAGCAGAGAAAGACTAAATGCAAACACCACGTAATCAGATGATTAGCATTCATACATACAATGTACAGGAACTCAAAACACTTGCTGATTAACCCTGACATTAATAAGATGTCGTCAGGAACACTCTGGGCTCTCAGAAAACACAGGATGGCATCTGCTAATTATCATATCATGTCTTTTTTTGTTAAAGGACTACTAATTTCAACCCAATCCACATACTTTCATATTATAGTCAAAAGATCCTGAGACTTCCCATTCTTTGTTCTACTTTCTTTGGGACAGTCCACACATGGCCACAGATTTTGATAGAAACTCACTTATGTATCAGCTGGAGTGCTTATTTTGAAACATAGAAGAGCAGAAGCTATTTGACTGGAATAAACAAATCTTGATTGGCCAAACATTGAATTTAAAAAACAAAACAAAAAAAAACCCAAACCAAAACAAAAAAAAACACAAAACAAAAACAAACAAACAAAACAAAAAAAAAAAAACTTTTTTTTGTCCCAAATGTATATTTGGGACCAGTGGATATTTCTTGTCATACAAATTTTACCGTATCTTTCAATTAACAATTGAAAAATTAGGTGAAGGAAGACTGTGCAGTTAAATATGAGAGGGAGAACACCATATTTTCTCTGTCTAAAGCAAACTCTGGGTAGGTGAGAGATAGCACGGTCCAGGTTTATCCCTGTTCTTATTTTTGTTTCCCATCATACCATGTCTGAACTCATGTGTAATACAAGCTATAATTTGAAAACACCTCAGTTAATGAAATACGTTTTAAACTATGTATAAAATATTGTGGCTCAAAGGTTTAAAGGTTTCATTGCATAACAAAAAGGCCTTGAGTACCACAAAACTCAACCCCAATAACATATCAAATGCTTCACTTAAGTTGCAGCTCTGGGAAGCACTTAAGTATGAACTGCTGCCAAATTCAGTTCTACTGATGAGATATTTTGTGCTGTCCTCACAGAAAGCTAAAAACCCTCTAGAGGCTGCAAGGTAGTCAGAAGTGTATGGCAGATATTTTTTAATATACAGTTCAGTACAATGTTGTAAGATCTAAGAAAAGGTTTTCACAGCAAATGTTATGCTGACTGCTGGAGAAAGAAGGTAAGAATAATGGGGAATTATTAGGTGAAAGAACTCTTTTGAAATCAAAATACAAAACAAAAGATGAAATTGATTTGGCCAAACAGGAAGGAAGTAACTGAATGACCTTAAGTATAAAGTGCTGGCTGGCATGGAGAGTTGACCTGAATGCCAGGAGGACAGAAAATCAAGACTCAGTAGATTATGATGTATTTCTGAGATTCAGTCCTCAACCAGGTGAAGGGGCAATGAGTGAGGCAGATTGTGAATTCCATCTGCACCAAAAGCCAGATACTTGCTTTGTATGTAGTTAAAGACTGAACTTGGAAGAAAATACAGGGGGCAATGAGTGCCAAGTCCTAAGTTCCAGAGGCTGAGGGAAACCTCATGGTCAGTTCTGTCAAGCAGTATGCTCCAAGAGGAAAGCAGACTGAAACCTACTGTTATCATATGGCCTGAAAGACAGCAGTGAATTCCAGATTGGAGCAGCACTAAACTATCAGTCAGTATTTCTTATGCTGTGGGTTGTTTTCTTCAATTTAGGAATGAAGATTTACATTTTTAATGCAATTTCCTGTCCACATGGGCCTCTAGCAGAAATTTAGCTTAAACATTTCCTTAAATCATGTTCAGCAAATGAAGTAATCTTTTGTGTGGGTGAGGGCTGGGAGCTGTGAAGCACCATTCTCCCTGGCACAGGTGGGTGATCTGACAATATTCATGTCTCTGCAAATATCATCTACACTATACACATCACATGAAGCCAAGAGATGGACTGGGGAGCAGGGCAAGTCCTGATTGCACTGAAGGTGGTGGAAGTTTTGTCTCTGATTTCAGCAGGCCTGGGGCTTTTTTCATTTGGGGAATGTGCCTATGGGTTAAGAATAAGTTAAAATGGCATGAAGTATTTCCTTAATGCACGAGAATGATGGAAAATAGATAAGATTAATGGAGAGGAAGAAGGACCCCATCCCATGTGAAAGACATCCTTAGCTGTAAGCACTTTTATAATGCCTAATTGACTGTGTAGTGAGTGCTAGAAGCTAAGGCTGCATGTGTGTATACAATTTAGACCTACATTAATAAAAATATTTTCATCAGAATTTTACACTCAAAAAACTGCACCATTTTAATAAACCAGTTTGATAATTGTTTAAGGAATCTGTATAATAAGGCTTAAAATATACTTATAAACCAGGACTCACTACTTGGATATTGTAAAAGTTTTCTTCTGAGTGCCAGGGCACACTGAATGCAGCAACAATTACAGAATTATATTCCAACTTGATAATTGACTTCTCTAGATTTCTCTGTCTCTTACTTTCATTCAGCTTTGCAAAATGAACCCCACCTGCGCAAAATAATTCTTTTGACCACTTTTGTAAGAGACCTGGTTTGAAACTAAACATGAAAATTTAGAAAGCTTGCATTTTATTCAGAATGGCATCTGTTACCCTATTTGCATGCATAGGGTATATATGAATAGGCATGAATCTGTCTCACAGATTCCATGAAATTGGGGTAGGTATGACAGCCACAGCAAAGATGCTCATTTCTGTGCAGTGTCTGAGCATCAGCTGTGGAATAATACAGGGAAAAAACAAAAGGCTTTGTGCAGAAGCACACATTTTAAACAGCCACCCAAGGGATGAACAAAAGTCAGCTGCTGAGCAAAGCTGGTTTTTAACTAAAGGTCAGATAAAATTGCACAGAAACCTCTGCTACTCAGCAGTATTTCTGCAGGAGGGATGTTATTTCTAGCTGTACCATTATTTCTGGCATTTTTAACTCAATTCTATTCTCTAAATATGTTAGTATCTCTTTCCTTTGTGTCTGGATAGGTCCAGCATGTATGTATCACCCTCATTTATTTCAAATTATTCTTTCAAATAATATAAAATAAATGGAGAAACTTACTGCAGTTGTACAGCCGGTTCAGTTTCTGGAGGTCGTACTCACTGAAACCCATTCGCTGTCCTATGACATCAATGAATTCTGGTATGTTGGTGATGATGGTGGGCTCAGTTCCATTCCTGAATGCAGTCTTGCTGTAGTGCATCACAGAATTGTAGTCATAGGGAACATTCAGGAAGTCTGATTTTTTATCATCATATTTATTGAAATTATGTCCTTTACCTAAATGGCAAAATTGAAAGGAAAGATTGTCTGTGGCTCAAGAGAATCAAATTTTAATGTAAAGACTTGCAGTGACAGAGAATCTTTCACATCTCAAAACATTTTTTGAAGTAATTTACTTGTACTAGCTCTGTAAAACAGTTTTATTTCCAGTCTAGGCCTATTTACTTTCCTCTTTCAGCCACTGATGACTTCTGCTGGATGAAGCAAAATCTTTGATACCAAAAAACTATTTCCTGTGGAACTTCTTGTTAACTTTGATGGGCTTTTGATACCCAAGAGTGGAGAGAGTGTTTCAGTACTCAAATTACTGCAATTTGCAACTGTTTCTAATGTATAGTCTCTGATGCTCAATTACTAGCCATTTTAGGTAACAATAAACAATTTAGAGTTGTCATCAGATAAACTTCCAGAATTTAGCTTTACACATGTTTTCTGGAGTATGAGCAAAAAACCAGTTGCTTACTACCCAATAGGGAGTCAGAATTTAAATCAGTCAAAATACAGAACTATATTCTGGTCAGTGTAAAAAAAATGCAGCAGTTTTGAATGTCTCACAATAGTGGAGCTTGTCACTGAAGAGTCAGCAAAATATAATGTCTAAGTAATTTTCGGTAATATATAATTGCATGTGTACCTGACTATTGATCACGACTAAATAAGAATGCATTAGATTTAATCATTATCCTGTTTTTCAGTCTTCTGTGTGTATCTATGTTAGAAAAACATCAAGTCTGCATATATAATTTTGTTTTTGAACAGCCTGAAAGTAACAGAGGATGAGGACAAGCTAAAGAGGCAGAGACGGAGCAAAGTCTTGAGGAATTCTGTGCCATCTCTCAGGATTGTGCCAAACATACCAACACTTACAATTCACAAGCTGCATTTCTGAAGTAATTGCTGGCGTGACACAGACCCTGAAAAGTCTCTCCTGCCTGCTCAAGTTGTGCACACTCTGTTCTCTCAGGTCTGCTGCTGGCATCAGGTGTAGCAGATAGGCAGAAAGAGAAGGACCAGTGTTTTCACTGGAGATTTTCTACTGGTTTTGGTCACACTGGATTTTTCAGACTGGGTGTTGGGCATGGGGGGTTTATTATTTTTATTTAATTAAGGGCTTCTAGAGTAAGTGTGCTTTTAGAGAATTCATTTTTAAAAACTAAATTATCCTCTTCTGCTGCCCGTGGTACAACATGTGGCATAACAGGATTCAGATCTCCAATTAGAGCTTCGGAAACTATCGTGGCACAAGCAATTGCAACAGCAGCAACAAATGAGAATTTGTGATTCAAGTAGATGTCCCTTTATATTTAATTTATTGATATGCTGGCTTTGAAAAGTAAGTCCAGGCGAGACAATAGCATGACCACCAAAAGATGCCTGGAAAGGATGTTCCACAGCTAAACCGCTAACACCAGAGTTTGAGAGGAAAAGCAGAGGAGTGACTGACCGGACTGAATCCTGTCCCAGATGATGCTGACATAGTCATCCCGGTCAGACCGAGACTGCTCATGCCAGAATCCCAGGGCGTGCAGGAATTCATGCTGGATTGTCCCAATCCTGTCACAGCTGGCTCCGATGGAGAGTTGCTGCAAGCCCATTTGCATGTTTCCCACTGAGGACCAGCAGCTGGCAGTGACATAAAATGGGAGAGGGCTCTGTGAGATACACACCACCCCCATGCCATGCAAACCTTAAAACCAGTCTATTCAATAGGTATATTTTTAACCTGAGCATTGAAGTCACAGTTTGTTACAGAGAGCAGTTTTCCATTGATCTGTTCTTTATCATACCCTTTCCTCTCACACTTAGCTCCGTTTCGATGAAAAAGAAGGTGCTCGTCTCTGGCTCCATTAGAAGAAAAATATTGATCTATTTGTGACAAAAGAATTCTAATTCTGATGATGATTTTTGCAACATCAAAAGTTGCAGAAAGTGTTGTGGGCACATAATTTAGAGAAATTAAGTTACTGCAAATGAACAATTTTCAGCTAGACCAGAATATGTGATTGTGAGCACACTTTGAGCATGTCCTTCTCATAAGGAGAAGTGTGTTCATGAACATTCTCTCCTCTGCCTTTCTCTGTACTGTTTGGCCTTTTACTTTGCATGGGACTGTGGCTGCTAGGCAAGGTGTGCCTCTGCATGCTGTGTTTACCTTCTGACAGGTTGATGGTTTCGACAGTACTTTTCACAGGCTCTTTTCTTTCTGGCTGTCTGTGAGCTGCTGTGCTAGAGCACTTGCTGCTTTCACACACTCCCAAGAGCAAAACTGCAGCTGTGCTGCAAGTTTTTATTAAAGGGTGAAAGAATTTAGTGAGTTATCTGCACAGGCCAATAAAATGGCACCCCATGTCCACAAACTAGCAGGCACAGAGAGCTACATTTAAATTGATATTTTATGTAGCATATAAATCAATACTTACCCAATGAAGTACATAAAATTAATCGGGCACAAAATATGCCATAGGATTTGCAGTCCTATCACCCCAGAAATTTAAAAATACAAGCACACCATGTGCTTTCAAACTCCGTGACTTATTAGTGCAACATATTCCCCAGTATTTCATTTTCCACAGAGCAACACAGGCCTTGCCTATTGATTACTCATTAAAATCACAACACGAGACCTGTTAAGGAGCACACGTAGCATCCATTATTTCAAGGTCTTTCCCTGAACAAGGCCTCATAGTGATTCTTGTGTTGAGCAGAAGAAGTCCATCACAGGCCTGGGTCCACCTCCTACCAAAGCCACCTCTGGCTTCACAGCTGCTGCACAGTGCACAGCAGCCTACAGCAGGCACATCCAAGACACTTGGAAAAGTAACATCCAAATGACAGTAGGTGCAGCTGCCCCTTGCCTTTGGTCTGTCAAATGCCTACAACACTGTCAGTCAACAGCCACAGAGGGAGCATACACACTGTCTGTGCCACCCTGCACCCAGAATAAAGTTAGGTGAGTGGGACATGGCACTCCAGAGCAATGGGCACATAGAATCCTGTGTCAGCAGTGTCTTCTGGAGGGGAGAAAGGTGAGGAAAATCTCAGCTTTCCCCAGGTGTGTGAGAGCGGTACTGCCTGTGACTCAATGCTTCTGCATTGCTATCAGAGACTGGAGGAACAGGGGAGCATTTGCTCTGACTAATCCCACCATCCCCCTTTTGGGGTTGTAAATAGACACATGCCATCAGTTGCAGTGGTGCCACTTATTTCAGGCACATTTTATACTAATGTCCTGCTACTAATTTTGTTCCCACAGTATCACAGATCACCAACATCAGCTCACAGACACTCTGACTTACCAGCACCAAGCCGGAGAGCCAGGGATCTGTTTCAATCTACTCCTGCATGGATTCCCTTTGCCATGTGCAACAGTGGCAAAGAGCTGAAGTGGCCCCAGGAATGCTCCATGAAAACCTGATTTTCCATGTGGAAATACTATTCATCTTCCCTGGTCTATTAATCATTTGATTAATATCCTGTCACACCTGATTACCCTGCATTTCTGTAATTCACAATTACATACCTCATGTGTTTTGCTCAGCACACAGGCAGGAGTTAACATAATACTAGTAGTAGCCAAGGTTAATGATAGATGAAGAATGTGTACAGGGAGAGGGCTCCTTGTATAGGGCCTTGATATACTCTGTACATACACCAGAGACTACAAATGTATTTTTACACAGGGCAGTCAATACAACAAAAGACAGCTGGCTTCTTTTGTGGCTGGCCTCATTTGAATTCAAAAGGGTAATCCAGATCAGAACTTTATGGCTTACTTCAAATCCTTTTGACAAAAAAGTTCCCCCCACATTCCTCTCTCTTATAGATGCAAGCCAAGATCAGAAAGGCAAATATGTTATTTATCAGCCTTTACTTCAAGTGGTGAAATGTTATGTTGCCAGGAACTTTGTGTGCCTCTCTGCACTGTATCCTCTGGGCTGAGGTCTTTAGTCAGCAGATAGAAGAGTCCTAATTGATTTTAAAGGCTCCAAAATATTAGGAACAACAGAGCAAAAATGGGTTGTTTTACCCAGCTTACACCCAGTACACCAGAAGTAAGAAATGGCTTGAAATGAAAGCAGTTCATTCAGGGTCAGTCCTGATTTCTTTGTACAACTCAAGATGACTCACTGAAACTGGATGGACCTTTTCAGGAGACTGCACCATTTATCTCCAATCTTTCAAAAAGTTCTGCTGTGGATGTGTCAGCTAAGGTGATGGAAACACTTCAGGGCAAGCCACACACCAGGCAGTGAGGGCAAGATATGTTATCCAACTAGAAGGATTCATCTTCTTCATCACTATGACTCATCTATTTTTAATAGACATATAAATGAAACATTGCACAGAGGCCTCCTACTTGCCATAGGCTAAATATTGTGGTTCTTTTTCAGGTACCATTATTAGCAAATTCAATGCCTACTTTAGGGGATGAAGGATTACAAATTCAGCTGCATGAATTTTCCATTTAGCTCAAAAAGACAGAGTCATTAGCACAGGGAAATGCATTGCTCCCTGAGTCTCCAATTATACATCTTTTAGAGCTGAATTTCAGTGTCATGTGTACAGCATGAACAGGAGCAAATACAAAGAGCCAGACAGCAAAGAAATTTTGAAACAATTATCTGATACAAATATCTCAGAACAAGCCAAAGGGAAAGAGAAACATTTTTATTATCAGAAAATCTTTTCCCATTTATGAATGCATTCTCATATCAGGAAATGAATTTCTGAAAGCAAATTTCCTCACCAGGCTATCAAGCTCTCCCTGTTCTCCTTTTCTATAAGATAAATGGTTCAACACAGAGTGAAAAATATATTTGTTCTTGTTGCACTGTTTTGACAGAGAATGTCTTAGAAGGGAAGAAATTGGGATAATTTTGACTTCTTTACTGTAGTCTTATTTTGCAAGATGTAAGATAAAATAGCAAGACTATTCATCAAAAGAGGTAAATAAAGTAAAATATCAGCAGAATATCTCAGTGCTGTACAGAAATTTAAAATATTGCTTTTATCTGAATGCTCATGTGGTGTTGTTCAAGTGCAATTCCATTGTTACATTCAAACAAATTAATTGCCCCACAGTGAGAACTATTATATTTCTCCTTGGTTTTTCTTTTCCCCTATAAGCCAAGGTATACTAGGAATGACCAACTGAAGTGATATTCCATATATCCAAACATCAGTCAAGAACATAATTGCTTTGTTTCTGATATCTTTTACCACGTCTAGTAAAATACCTTTTATAAGACCTGATTTCTTCTTCTACTCAAGATAAATATCAGTAGAAATTGTTCATTACTACTATGGTAATACCTCTTTTGGAAACTGTAGTAGTTTAACAAAGACTGGGAAAATGGAGACAACAAAAATGTAAAATTATAACCAGATATATGAGTTTTAGGCCATGAGAATAATCTGAAAGCAAACATAATGAAAATTATTTTGCATCGCTTCTCTTACCCACTTCCTTTGAACACAGATATGTAATTCTTCTCCCCTTCCCAAGGTTTGAAGTCAATACAGGTTTTCAGTCGATACTGTTCAAATGCCTTGAGGATGACTCCCTTAGCATTCATTTCTGCAAAGCAACCAGTGTTCTTGTCAATATTGAACTGAAAGATTTTTACTATTACCCATATGGAGCAAGTCCCAAGGGTGGCTCTTGCTCCAGCAATCTTTGATCAAAATAAACAGATCTTTGCTGGATTAAGACCCAAGTGGGGACCTAAAAAACATAAATTAGGGTATTGCAATGCTGTATCTTGCTCTTGTTTTGCTCCTCTGTAATTTTTCTTTGGTACTTATGTATCAAATATGACATTATGAGTATACAGAAGGATACTGTATGGGGGTTTAATTTTGTAGATTCTTTCATATATTTTTTGAGATTTATGTAAACAAGTATTAAATATATAGGAAATGAAGACTTCATATTTTACTTTATACAGAATGCAGGCTACAGATCCCTCACTGAATTTCTCCAGCACTTGAATTTTTCAGAATATATCTGAAAAATTCAAATAATCTGTTTTATCTCCTCTAAGCAACTTGCATAGTTTCGACACAAAGATTTAAAGGATGGAGTCAAATTATGGTGTGTCTCTGACTCACATTAGGGGACTCGGCAATGTGCCATTGCAAGCTCTCTGTCAGAATGCCATTTTGCCCTCACTGCTGTAAATTATATAAATGGCCAGGTAAACTTCCTGTCCTTTAAAGTATCTTCCATGCCCTCTTTTCACCTCAGCTTTGTAGAGTTTCATGTCTTAGACACAAGATTTCAAAACCAAAAGAATTTGCTGGGCCGTAGCAGGGTAATAATTCAAGAAAGGAGGTGAGAGCCAGCTCTGATACCAAGATTATAAAACCCTTTTATGCACACTGAGCCCCACTCCTGCTGTGGGAAATGGCCTCTCTAGATTGAGGAAAGGACACCACAGGAGCTTTATCAAGCTGTGCTGAACAGTTCAATCAACACAACATACAGACATGGTGAAGGGCAATACTGTACCCAGGCTGTCCTCAAGGACATACGGGACAACATGGGGCCATCGATAGTTGTCACCAATGATGGAGTTTCGTTCCTGTATCCAAGAAAGAAAACAAGCATACAGTCCTCAGTAAAAAGGGATCTAGCATCAGGGACTAGAATAGTGCTAAAGCAAACCTACAATTCCAAGTAAGACATAAAGGAAAACAATAAGCTCAAAAATCTTGCAAGATTACTCAGAGGTCTGAGATCTGGGTTTGAAATCACTTCATGTCCTTCCACTGGTGTCTCCAACTTCTGCTGCATTTTCTCTGTAGAAATTTCCCAAGTTTTTGATGCATGTGCATGAGAGCTTCTGCTCATATGGAAAGCCTTAAGATCTAAAGTCCTGAAAACTGTACAGAGATTAATAGTTTTGTAATTTTTCATAATGCAAGAATTTGTTTCTGTGCCTTTAGCAAGTGCTATCCTTGCTTCAAGAGGTATCTTCAGCATATCTCCCAAAAAGGAGACTAAAACACTATTTTGGGACTACTTTCAGAGTGCAAGACACTATGGGGGTTTCCTACTAGATATTTTTGAGATGTAAATGAAATTTTTTTATTCATTGATCAGATAAGGATGCTGACCAGATGCCCTAAAATGTGATATTAGAGATCTAAATTTTTCATTTGTTTTAGTAAATCTACTTACAAGAGTAAGGTTTTGCAGTGCTGCTTAGTAAATTTAACTGGCTCAGAATAAATATTGTGCAGATAAACAAAGAATTCTTTTTATACAAACCTGCCTGGATGATGATCAGTGCTGCCTAATCTCTTAAAAGTGACAACGTAAAAAAGGAAACAAGAAGCTAATAATATTGGTTTAATCACTGATGAGATCTCATGCTGGATAATGTTTCTGCAAATGCTGTTGACTCCTTCACTGTCTATGACATTTTGTAGAATTCCATCCCCAATCATCTTCAGTTTATTGTTACATAAACAGTATTTATTGTTTGTAAGAGCAGGATGCATCTATTATTTCCATGCCAGTGATACTTTATATTTAAGTCAATGACTCATTTTTAGCTTTATATTTTATTTGAACTCACCCCAGGAAGTTTGATGTCTCCTTCAAAGAGGTCTAGTCCTAAAGCTAAAGGGAAGAGGAGAATAACATTCGGTTATTATATTGATCTATGACTACTATAATGAAAATTATAGAAAAAAATTGAGACCTTCATTTATGTCAAAGATGTCCTGATCAATTCCTCCATCTATGTCTATTTCTGAAAAATAAAAAGACAAGTGAGGTAGGACATTAGCCCTTGCTGTTTTCTTTATGAAGTGTGAAAATTAATGCAATAACAATAACAGTAATTATAAATCTGTGTCTGTCCTAGCGATGTTTATGAGCAGCTGGTTTTGTTGACTGCCTCCCATGCATACAAATAGATCTCTAAACAGAACTCACCAGTTGTCTCTGGAGCAGGCTGGGGAGGGGAAAGAAAAAAAAGATATTATTAGAAAGGCAGATAATGAAATGCAGCTCGCATTACTTTCTCAACAGTATTAGAGATGTGATTCAAGCTCAACTGACAGCACTTAGCACATGGCTTTGTGTTGGACTGACTGCACCCACTGCCTCCTCATTTGACTGGAAATCTGTATTTGCTTGTCTGGCAGCTTTGTGCCCTCCCCACCTCAGGGTGCCCAACAAGTAATTCACCAGTACTGCTTCTGTAGAGGTTTCACAGCTACTTTTTCTCACAACTCAGGTAGTACTAAGTTGTCCTTCACAAATGGGAAAAAAAGTAGTCTATTATTTCTATGGATTCAAGCTACTAGTCAGCAGCTGTGCAGAGCCTATGGAAGAGATGCTGAAATTCCCATCACAAATGTGAAGATGGAGGGAGAGAATGAGTGGTCTAGTGTTACCCAGTGAGGCTTTGAAGGACTGGGTACACAGCCCAGGTCACTTCAGCCCCAGTTCAGTGCCCTATCTGGACTCCATTTACCTGAGTAATAACAACTCAAACCCTCCCTTTGCAACATGGAGAATCCACAGACCATAATGAGATAAAGTGACATATGATGAGATATACATAGAACAATTTCATTGCCATGACATGCCTATAGAATCTAATCTTAATTCTTTTATTTACCTGGACACTTCATTTTTGGACTACTTTGGACATACTTGACATAACACTACATGACTATTTCTCACATAGTGAGTAAAATCATGAACAGCCATTCTAAGCAATCGATCCTGGTGTCTTGTATTTGTGTGTTTTAATAGAAGTTCACAAACTGAAGATAAAAAACATCTTTATATTCTAAAATAAATGTGACAACAATTCTGGGAAAAAGTGTGTGATTTTTACATTTTATTTTTTTTTTTAACCACAGTTTTCCCCCTGTGTTTCTTTCTCCATATAAATAATTTATTTTCTGTACATGCAGCTTTGCATGTAGGACTTCTTTTTCTAGCGTGATAAGCATCTGCAACTTCCACTAGAAGTAATGAACAACACAAAATCAGAATGCTGAAAACCAGCAAAGATCAAGTCCATGCAGTCACTAGGAACATTAATTGTAGTAATCTCTAATATCTGTACAATGTGTAAGAAAACACTATGGCCAGAATATTCAGGAGAGATTCAAATGCACATGTTCTTCTAGACCTAAGTTTCAACACATAATGATGGGAACAATTTTGAGGGAAACAACTTGAGCCCTAGAACTGACTCCATATAAAAATTTTAACCAAACACAGAAAAAAAATCCTACCTCCCGTGAAATGTCAAGGTTCAGAAAGAAAGCTCTGAAGTTGTCAGGATGTCTCATTTTAGCTTCATAATGGAAGATTGATTTTTAATCTGAAATTACTGTCTTTTAAAAACTTCAGCAAATGGCAGAAAAAATATTGTAAATACAAAGGCCAAAAATCTCATTCTATGATTCACCTGAACTAAAATTCACTCAAGGTGTTGCTTCACAGGTTTTGTCAGATTTTGATCACTTAGTCTCATTGCCTAAGAGATGAAGACCATTTTTTGCCAAACCAAGTCAAGGCTATAATTTTTATCTTTAAGAAACATAATTCCTAATTGGTATCAGCTGGCATAGCAAACATTTAGTAGCTAGCTGTTCTATAAACAGCCAAAGTTTTTAATGAACTTCTCCTGCCTCCTTTTTCTGCTTTTAATCAAACTATCACTCACATATGTCTTTGTCCAGTCTCAACCTGACCCTGACCAAGGTCAGTCTAACTTCCCTTGAAGGGTCAGTTACAGAAAACACTGAGTAGAATCTGTTTCCTGACTGAATTTGTTGTCAAACAGCCCCACTTCAGCACTTTGCATTTTCAGAAATTTTTAAATTTGTCAGGTTTTAAGCGTGGTGACTCTTAAAAACCCAGTATCATTGTGGAAAACTGGCTGACTCCATTGAAAAACTGGTTTCAGAGTTGGGCAGATGCAAATGCCCAAGGATTGATGCAAATGCTGAAGGATTGATATTGATCACACATTTCAAAATTAACTGGCATCATTTAGGTTTACATTGATACATGAGGAATAAGGATGGGGATTTTAGAAAGAAAACCCCACAATTGTATACACACACAGCTTAATAACTGCAAATATCTTGTTCAGACAAACCATCCATACATCTGAAATGTCAACAGACTCCTCCTACATGTTGAAGTTTCATTGCATATATATCGTACTATTGCACTTTGTTATCACTGCATAAGACAATTCATTATCACTGTGCATAAAACAGTATTTATATATTCAAGTTTTGAAATTAGGGTGCAGCTTGTAAAACAAGTTGCAAGTACATGGGCAAAGTGTGCAACACACATTTTAAAGGCTTAATTTGCTTTTAAACTCCCACTCACACAAATTTCTTGGAAGAAAAAAAAATTACCAGTAACATTTGCAATATTAAAAAAATAAAATCACATTATTGCGTTTTATGTAAAAAAAATTATTGATGGAAAAGAGTCACACCCATATATCCTGAATCCCCTTATAACAATTAATGGTGAGTAAAAATTTTCCGCAGTTCCAATAACTGTAAACTACAATGTACACATATCTATTAATCAGAAAGTATAACTGTCCTAAAGGTACAAACTGAGTAACTCCTGGAAAAGCTCTTCTAGCAGCAGCAAAAGCTCACAAACTGAGATCACTAGCTAAGCACAGTGGTATTTTTGGTGCACAAATCAAAATGTGAGTCCATGACAATGAATAACAAATGCAGCAACTCATGAAATCCAGGCTGGTCGTCAGTGTCTGAAAACTGCTCCTGAATGTTTTATGCTGACAGAATCCCTTCTATCACATCTTTCCACTATGTTCCAAACAAAACTAGGTCTTTCGTCTTGTGAATCTCAACAGCAAAATACTCTGTTTCAAAAGCTGCACCTCTGCATACAAGTATCACTTGTTCACATGGAAGTGACTTTTGTCTCAATACAGACTAAAAAAATATATGATGCAATTTCTAGGCTGTGAAAGTATTGTAAACACAAAACAAATACACAGTTCATAGTCTCATGCAAAGGAAGGTTGTGTTAGCTGAAGTGGCCCAATTTAGTCTAATCTAATTCACATATGCAAATTTCTGATCATTTTTAATAGCAAAATCTAATTTTGGACATGGACAACATGTCAGTTAAGACATTGTAATGGTTGGTTAAACCACTTGTGAGAGCACATTTAACTGACAAAAACTTCAAGTGTGTCTTGGACAAGTGGGAAACATCTCATCTACTATAATCATGTAAAAATCAGGTAAAGGGACTCACTCAGTAATCAATCAAGAAACAAATGGATAATTCTTATGATCCAAGAATATCTATGGCACCATCATGATGCCCCGGCATCACTGTAGGATGATCTACCTCAACTAGCCTGGACATCTATTCAGATGGAATACACTCATCTAATTTCAATGAGACACTTAACTTACCAGTGATTTTTCCAGACTATATTATTTTAGTATTAGCATCCAGAAATTTGAAATTAGCTCTTCCTGGCCACAGAACACATGGAAATGAAATAATTAGCCCTGGTGGTGAGAAGCCCCTTTCTCACACAAGAGCTGGTTTTTGGGAATCAGTTTGATGTCAGGTAACTTCTGGATCTTAGTAATACCTTGTATCACCTACTATAGGCTTTAACAAAGCCTGCAGTGGAATCTAAACAAGACTGAGGTTTGAGTTTCCAAAAAACTAGGGCAGAGGCACAGGTAGTGTGAATAGTAGGGAAGGATGGGATTGGGGTGATGGGGACTATGGGAAAGTTTGGATTGTGAGGCTGAGAGCTTAATTTAAGGAGATGTCTGAGCATGGGTCAGTGGAGAGAAAGAAGATAAGGCTGCCATAGGCAGTTATATTGAGTAACTTCAATAATGTTATTGCACTTACATAGTGTCATAAAAAGTAATGCCTTACTCTCTAGATTACCCTGAAGTAATGAACAACTGAAACAAACTTTCACGAACCTTTCGATTTTTGTTACCTGAACTAATTATATTGTGTATCACCAAAAGTTCCTGACCTCTACAGCAAAGCCTCCCAACATGAGCAAAATGCTGCATTTCACTAAAAAAGGCAGGTAATATCAAATTCTCAGCTGTCACTTTTTGACCTGAAATATTTCAGCTGGATTGGAGGAACAGGAAGCAGTCATTTCCAAGTATATCCAGTGGCTAAAAAGGCCTAAATTCCAATAACAATTATATTGTGTTGTAGCAAAAAAAAAAAACAACAAAAAAAAACCCAAACCAAACCGAAAAAAAACCAAACACAACCCAAACAAAAACAAAACCAAAAAAAAAAAAGCCAAAACCAACCAACCAAACCCCAAAATCGCCCCCCAAAAGCCAAAACATTCAGACATGGACAACTGAAATAAATTTCATTTCTGGATTTTAACCTCAGACTTGTTCGGGTAACTTTGAATACTAGTGGACATTTTGCTTAGCTGGAGAACACAAGGTAATCTCTTTCCATGTATAGCCAAATCTATGAAAAATAACAACACTAAGACCCCAAGAAAACACAAATCATTTATCTCTCCCATGCAGACATTAACAGAATTATATTGATTCTGGAAAATAATAATTAAGTATTTTCCCCTCAAGCTCATCTTAAGCTGCATTATTTTCTCAGTCAGATAAAGAATATATATTCTTTGTTTTCTTACCAGACTCCAGACCACCTGAAAAAAAAGACAGGTTAGAAGCCCAGGCACAGAAAACAAGTTCATGTTGTTCTCCAGTCTACAGTTGTGTGGACAGAATTTTACACCAAGTTGGTATTTAAGATAGTAAATATAATAAATCAGAACCTTTGCCCTCTCAACAACAATTAACTCACCTTACCTATGGTTTTCTTGTCGAGTAAGCACATCATTGTCAAGTAAGTCCATTATTAGTGTATTGCAATAACTAGCAGAAACATTTTAATTATATTTAAGAACTGCTGTGAGAAATAGTGTTGGAGAGAAATTGAAATACAGGGTGAAATAGAAATAAGAAAAAGGAAATATAGGGGAAAGACACACTGAAACACAGGAAACTACATCTAAATTTAAGGGAAAAAAAAAAAACTTCTCATTGTGTTAAGCACTGGGACAAGTTGCCTAGAGAAGTTCTGGAGTCTCCTTGATGACAATCAAAACACAACCTGACTAAGATCTGAGTGACCTGCTGCAGGTAACCTTGCAGCACAACTGCATGGGAATGAACTAGGAGATCTCCAGAGGTGTCTTCCTGCCTCAGTCATTCTCTGATTCAGAGAATAAAGCTGACACTAAAACCTTTTGAACAACAGAAAACTAGCAAGACTCTTGGCAAGACATGAATATATATTAATAATTGTACATTTTTTGACAGAAACTGAAAATGAGAAATGTGTGTACATAAAAAAAAAATCTATCAGCAACATAATTTGGCCATCCTGCTTTTGGAAAATGCAGAGCTATTTCTAGTGTTGATATATGTGAGACACTGCATTTATCACTAGTGTAAATAATGGCATCCTTCTCAATTACTTGAATATTCCAGTCAAATTGATTTTTTAAATGTCAGTACCATTATACTGTCACCATTGTCGGTTGACTCTTGGGTATTTTTTTCAACTTCAACCACCTCGTCTACTTCCTAGATGTCAGTGAGTGCTGGGATTGCCACAGCTTCTTTTTAGGCTTAAACTGAAGGTACTTGTGGTAATTGTATGGTCAAGCTTCGATAACCTTTTACTTTGTCAGACCAACTACTTGTATAGACTAACACAGAAATTAAGAATGGCATTTAGATTTTTTTATTGTAAATTCAGACTCACAAAATTATTATATCAAAATTAATAACATGTTGCATTCTATTTTAACTATCAGAGCTGGTAAGAAAGAAAGATCCTAAGTAATGAGGACACCTAAACCATTTATAGCTGCTCAGATCCATACTTATTACATCTTTGCTGATGCATTGAGAAGCAGTAGTTGTAGATATTATTGTTCTTATAATGGTATGGTCTCTTTCCATGAAAGCAACTAAATATTAAAATTCCCTACTCACCAACAATGATGGTGACAACTGTTCTGAAATCAGTGTTGTTTGGTAGATCGAAAAGCTCTTTTGTCAAGATTTCTTCTGCAAGTTCAGCAGCCCTTGAATTCTGCATGTTGTCATCTCCAGCTGCTGGGAGATTGTTAGTACGGATTCTGGAGGATGCTCGTGCATAAAAAACCCTGAAACCCAACTGTGGTTGCAAAGCAGATTTGTTTTTATTAGATGCAGTACCAAATAATACATACCGACCCCTGGATTCTTTGAAAAGCTGCTGAGCAGGAGATGGAGCATGGTGCTCAGGTGGGAGGGGCAGGCAGGCACTGAACCTTCAGGAAGTCCCCTGGATTGAAATGGCGTGCCTCTTGTCCTCTTCAGCCCCTCCACCCCAGAACCACACCTCATACCTCCTCCTCTCAGAGTGGAATTTTTCCAGTTACGACATCATCTCACACTTGGCCAGAGTGTGAGATTAGGCCACATCGGCTCAGGATACCACCTCCATGCTAACAACAGCTCCATTGTATATTGTTCTTCTTTCAGGTTAAATTCCAAACACATTGTTTCTCTTAAGGGTCAAATTCCCACCAGTTAAACAGTAAGGATTTCTTCATTGCCCTTTCTTCATTATCTGGTCGATGTGTCCAGCAGCAGACCAAACATGGCAGCACCTTAGACACAACTTTGGTCCCTGACACATGCGACCACACGATCCGTGGTTGGAACACAGCGATACTCCACCATACAAACAACAGTATGATGCAGCATGCAATCTATTAAAGATCAGTTCAGTGATACTAAACTAGAAGTACAACAAATAATACAAAGAAACCTACTACTTAAGGCACAAAGTAATACTAATCCCTTTTTCAACCAATTCCAACTCCATGTCCCTCCAGCAAACATATTCCAACTGTTGTCTTCTACGAGTTGTTGAGTAAGTGTCTATAATTCCTGTAGTTGTGCATGGACAGAGTTAGAATGGTCACTTAAGTTTATACAGCATACCTAATCAAAATCTTCACACCAATGCTCATGTGGTAAAAGCTAAAAATCAATTGCTGCTGAATTTTGTAGTGTAGCTTGTTTAATGCTGTCTACATCAATTAACAAATCAGATATAGCTATGCTGGTAGTATTACTAAACTTTGCTAACCAACAACTAGCTCCATCAAGGCTCATGAGGGCTTGTGCACTTGTAACCCCAGGAGCCAACAAAGAGGCAGTGATTGCCTTGACAGTGTTCTAGAATTTATCTGTATCTCTGTAATTGGGAGTAAAAGCATGTATGCTCTGAGTATGACAGTGGTGAGTTTGGTTTTGTTGAATCCATATTGAAGTTGTTATATTTGGAGATAAGAGGGTTAACTTTCTTAAGGTGCATGGAAATTTAATTGCCATTGGCACTCTGGCCTAGGCTCAGTCCCTGCAGATTAAGACGATACCTTGTGGGAGTTGCATTCATGTACTAAAACTCAGGGTTAGCTGTGCTGTCATTGAATTATACCAGCATGAAGTATTTTAATACAATGGTGGCATTTACCCACCAAGTTATAGGGCTATTTTTTGTGCTAATAAATTTAAAGGTGGTATAACTATCTGCATTCAAGGTGCCTAAAATCCACAACTCCTCTGGGGGTAAAGCGGGGGATTTGCTGAGGTGGGACATTTGCTGCCAGAATCTGTTAGTCAGACAGGCCACAGGTGCAGAGGTGTGCAGGGGTGCTGTTACATAAATGTTGCAGCTCGTGGGCGGTGAGAGGGATGTATCATGTCATGGATCAGACACCTTGTGAATGGCTTCTGAGCCACAGCAGTGCTAAGGCACCGTAAGTTCTGGTCACCTTAGCCAGAGTCACCCAGATGTTTTTCCCAAGGGGGGTATGAATCAGAGGTACCCTGTTAAAACATAAACAGAAGAGAAGTCACCTCCTCACCCCTTCTCCCATTCCCACCGACAGAAGAGTTTAGCAGGTACATGGCGTCAGTGCTGTTCCCCTGGAATGGTAATAGTAACCTGCTTTGCTTCTGCTGCTATCACCTCAGCAGCCACAGAACCAGGTTCCATACGCATCCAGGTTCCTTTGCATCTGAAAAGTAAAACTGCACAGGACCTTGAATGGATAGGGAGGGCATCATCCAAAAGTAAACTGATGCAATAGTTCCACTGGGGAGTATATAAGTAGAAGGATGGTGTTCCTAATGCCTAAAGTGAGTGGAGATTAATTTTCCTATTGTTTAAAATAGTGCAGCTATAGAATAACTCCACTGAAACAAAGGTAAAATAAGTTTAAAAAAACCCTATATACATCTGAAAATGTCTCGGCTTCTCTCATTCTTCCTCTACACAAAGAGGCTTTTAATCAGGAGGATTTTAGTTTTATCCAAAGGCATCCAGCCCATATGTGCCAAAACCATCCCACAATGATAACCAAAGGACAGTCAGTAGGGACAATAGGGAGTGTTGTTTCAACATTGGCATATACTGTGAAGGAGAGGAAAGATAATTTCCAGAACAATAGTTTTATTCAACAATGGTGAGAAATATGAACTGAGTTTTGTTTTAAATTAATAATGGAGGCAGTTCAGTATAATATTACAAATAATAAAAATAGAAAAACTATGAAAATGACAAAGTGATTATTATAAGTAAAGTAATATTATTAAAATGTAAGATCAAGCCATGGAAAATGGTTTTTAATTTTCTTGTGCTGCTCTAAACCTTATTTTCCTTGTCGATTGGCTAATGACCAAGGCTATGGAAACAGCAAAAGTCATAATTTTAAGACCAGATGAAACTTGGTGATACACATTAGAAGCATTAACAACTCCAGAAAACTGCTGGAGCCAGATATTCAGCTCTGTATCCTGCAATACCCCAGTATGACATCATATCTTTCAGCAGATGAACTACATCACACCAGGACCTCAGTGGACAGGTTCGCATTGTGCTTAGGTCCTTGACATTCTCCCAGGTAGAGGTCACCTGGCTACCTTGCTCTCCAGTTTTCCTTTGAAGGAAATCAGCTAGGTCTGATCACACCAAAGCACGAAGGCAGCTCCTTGGACAGCTCACTACCAACCCTTCCCAAAAGATAGCACGGACCAACTTGCACTCTGTAGGCTTTGCTCAGTGTAGTTCTCCAACACCATTGCAAAAAACCCCACATTCTTTTCTGTCTTTCAGAACTTGCAGCACATACTTTAAGATTCATATAATGAAACCTCCCCTCCAAAAGACTGAAACACAAGTTACATTATACACTTAGATTGGAAAAACACATTAAAAATAGTGACTTGTAAGGGAGCTCTTGAGCTGTGTATATACAGAATTTAACACTACAAATCTACTTGCTACTAATGCAGGGTTGAAAGCAAAATATAAAAAAAACACTTGCTTGTAACAAATCGTGAATAGTTGCTTGGATTTCTGCATCTCTTCCTGGAATCTTAATTCTGGCCTGTGGCCACTGCATGGTGTCAAAAGCCCAGCTGGCAAGTTTTTTTCTATTCCCAGCACTTCCCCAAGGGTTCCATTCCCCAAGATTACCTAGCTGCCACATTTTTTCAATTATCTCATCCAGAGGATTTCCTGTTTCATTAATCAAAAGGGTCTTTATTGCATTTTATATGCTGGGGGAGCAGTCTTAATCAGTCTATTTCTCATGGTAACAAATGGGGATCCCACATCAGAGTGTCAGTGTCCCCAGTAAAAATCACCACTTTCATTCCTTCCTCCTTCATTCACTGTATATAATCTCACAAGGTATACCACAGACACTCAGACCCCGGTTACGCATTTTCTGTGGGGTATTTAGTACTGCATCCCTGGGTAGCTGTAGCTGGCAAATTAATATACTGTGCATAAGTTTTAAATGTATTCTCTTTAAAACAAATTTGGGCTTAGCTCCAAGAATTTCTTTCAATCTCCAGCATCCAAGATTATGAACAAGAGTTAGAAATTGCTTAAAGGATCATCGGCAAGGGTAGCAGCAAAAACTAGATTTAATATTGACAAAGTTTGTTGACAAAATTCACTCTACTACTTACAGAACACTTAAGGCACCTCAAGTTAAAACATGCAACAACAAAGCCAAATAAAAGCCAATCAAAACAGATTGAACAAGGAACTATCTCTGTGTGTGTGTGTGTGTGTGTGTGTGTGTGTGTGTGTGTGACAAAAGGATAGTAAGACAAGGATAAAAAGGAATATGGCTTAAAAGCTTAATATCATTCAACAGTACTTTAAGTTATACTTCAAACTTAAAAATTTAACAAAGGAACAACACTTATGACTAACTTAACTCATAACTTAAGTTATACCTTAACTGTAACCATTTAACAGAAGAATCATGCTTAACAGCATTTAAAATAACTTATAATTTAAAACTTAAGCTTACTTACAGGTCTAGCTTACTGAGATCACAGATTGCAGTGCAGAAGCAGCAACAACACCTAGAAACACTTGCCTTTGCAATGTTATATTGGCCCTCAGCAGTTGTATGTCCTTGTCTTGTTTGTCTGTTTTTCAAGCTCTGTATTCT